AATATATAACCTTATGTTTACATTAACTGTATTTACAAATGAATGGTAGAAAACATTGAATAATGAGAATAATGCAAAAAACATTAATTTTTATTCTTTTGAAAAATGCATAAAAATCTTAATTATATTTCGTATAAAATTAGATACTGAATATCTATATATCTATTGTAATATAATGAATGCTTATAAATAAATGCTTATTAAAACAATTTAATTTAATAAAAGGATTTTTAATGATTCATAACATATATAAAATGATTAATCAAATTAAATTAAATACAGAATAAACTTAATAGTTTAATGAGTTTAATAGTTGTGTTTATAGTTTTTACTTGTAATAAAACAAAATAGTTATTGTCTCATATAATAATAATTTTCTCACATACTCTCTCTGAAGTCTATTAATTATAGTTAATGTAATAATTCTTAACAATTTTTAAAAGTAATTAATTTAACAATTCAAATGAACACGATTTTATTAATAAATATTTTTTGATTTCATTCAAATTAAATATTCTGTAATATTCTTGTAATGGATATTGTTAGATAATATTAATTAAAAATGAGATTTGTTTGTTAGTAAAATCATAGCACAATTAATATTGCAATGTTCTATTAATGGTAATGTGGATCTATAAATCATAACTAACCATGATAATTTATATTTCTGGGATCCCATAGTCATAAGATCTAGTGAAGGGTCTGTTGCCGAATATTCTGAAGTCATTTAAATTGGAAATGGGCTGACGGTATGAGAAATCAAAGTTTTGGTCTTCAAAGGGGGCCATGTCTTGGGAAAAGTTGGGAATCGTTAGCTTCAAAATATAGGGGTAGCCAAATGAGCCGATATATAACACTCTTTCGTAAGGGTTATCGCTGGGGCCCTCCACGGCCTCTGATATAAAACTATTGGCGCCGTCAGTAGAATGAATTGAACCCAAAATCTTTCCGTTGGCATCCATTTCCAGAATGAGTCCGTAATTGTTGGCCACGTTTTGTGAATAGAATTGGGAACCGGTTTTCATACTAAATCCCAGTCTCTCGAGCCGATCGTTCTTCTCTTTTTTACCCAACTCTTCAAGACTTGTCCCGATTTCCGTATATTTGTCGAGAATCTCTTGTCGCAGCCATGGCTTATCACTCATCCAGTCTATTAGATTAGGATTACTAACATTTCTGGCGTTTACTATTGGCATCCAATAGGTCTCGTGATGTTTCTCAAGACTTCTGATAAGATGATCGCTCTCTCCCGGCAGGTTCTCCGCCCACGTCTCCGTCTTCCCCTTGTCTTTCCCTTTAGGCATCAATTTGAGTAATTTTAGCAATATACATTTTTAATATGAGTTAAAAACCTTTAATATAATGTTTGACAACACGTCTGGCTGTGAACTCTGCCACCAGAAGTGCATTGCGATCGTCAGTAATCTCAACACTCGTCGGATACCAGAGTCCCTGCATTAAAGTCTCCACTTTTTTCGTGTCGGCGTCATATTTGATAACTGTCCCTGTTCTGTCAGGTTCTAGTATCATAGCGGGCCATTGGTTCAAGTCCCTTTTAGTGCTGGCAATGGTCATATAGATAACATTGCCTCCATTAGTTCCGGAACCCTCATCGATGGCTAAGTGTCCCATATATTTGCCACCCGTTTCCTCAAGAGTGAGCAGACGGTTGACCTGAACTTTGTTGCCATAAAAGAGCACTTCGTGGAGACCTAAATACGCGTCGACGAAGAAAACGGTTCCCTTCTTATCAGTTCTGATGCCCAGCGCTCGACCACAGAGTGATATATCCCAGGCTTTGGTTTTACACAAATCATTGGACACTTTGACAATTCGGGTCGCGTTTCCAGTTCGCAGATCACACCGATATACGCCCCCACCAGCCGTTCCCGTATAGATAAAGTGCTTGTGAATGGCTAAAGAGGTCGGCCCTACGATTCCGTTCTCACATATTCTTGTGGCTCGACTGAGGATATTGTTTGGGGTCAACACTCCACTAAAGTCTTTCACTAACGGAAAACTTTTACATAAAAGCAATAAAAATAATAAACATTTTAGAAAGTATAGTATTATAATTATAATTCATTAAATGTTATACACAATAAATATAATGCTTTAAAAGTGGAAAATAAATAAATTATTTTATCATATTTATATTATACTGTATTTATAAATAATTGTGTCTATTATTTAGATATATGAATAGAATGTTTTAATAAATAAAAAATTTATAAAATGTAAGTCAAAATAATTATTATATGCTAATCTGAATGCAATGCTCAAGGAAGTCACAAAATATAGCAGTCTTTGTTTTCATTATTTGTTTTTAAACTATTTTTGTTAAACGATTTGTCGGAAGATTCACAATAACAAATTACTTGTGGGAATAGCTTTAATTAACTATTATGTCAATTTATAATTATCATTAAAAACTTTTGATTTTTGTTGTTGATTCTAGCAAGTCATTAGCATAAGTGGGAGAATTGTCAATAATATTTTTATTTTAAAGTTCTTTAATCATAATGTGTAAAATCTATTTAATTGAAAAGATTTTAAACTACTTAAAATATCTACTTAAAATATATTATAGTGACCATAACTTTAGTCATAAGATAAATTTGGTAGAGATTTACATCATGGAGATTTATAATATTGGAGATTTAAAGGGTTAAAACTTAAATGAATCTAACAGTATTTTATTACACTATTGTGTAGATAACAATCACTGTTTGACTAAATGATTGATTGAGAAACGAGTTGTCGTTAAAATTGTGGTTTTGTTAATGTATTTAAAGTACACTCTATTTCCACATTTTGCTTAACGACTTGTCATTACTCTTAATTATATTACATAAGCGGATCATCAGTTCTCAAGTAATTTTAGGATAATTCTTAAACTATTTGTGTTAATACTTGAAATAATTTTATTTTAAAATAACAATATACTGTATATACTTCAATATAAGTAGATTATATTTGTGTTTATTAAAATATTTCTACATAAATTTATTTAAAATTAAATAAAAAATCAATTGTATTAAATAAAACCTGTATTAATTAAACAAAAACTATATTTAAAGGCTGATCAATTGTGAATTAAATTATATTATTTTCTATTATTGTTAAATACATTCTCACAGTATAATGATATACAGTATTATAAATAGATTTTATCTATAGTCTAATAATTAAACCCATAAACCATATAAAGTATATGTGAATCATCAAAGAAATTTCTTATGAGAACTATTGAAATCAAAGTTTATTTTTTATTATTGTATACTTTCAATATACTAATAATAGTTGTTATATAAATTCTCAAAACAAAGCATATCTTTATAAAAAAATTTATTTTCTCAAAATTACATTATAGTGTTTTAAATATTTGCTCAATTGATAGTTAAATTTATAATATGCTTGAACACGATTACAATTATTTTTTTAAATAATAAAAAATAAGTAAAATATATGATATTAATATAACGCAAGCAATATTTATATTTAATATTGAATTTATGTAGTAATCAAATATTATTAAATTTTTTGATATTAATATTTTTGAAATTATTTATGATATTTTCAGTGAGAACTACTGTATGTTTTCATGACTTCTAGAATTATAATAAAATAAAACACTATTATACCGATTATAAAGTTATGTTGGTAATTGTTTTAATCATTCAAATGATGATGATACGTTATGATTAGTTATTTTGTTTTATATTTATATTATTCGTCAAACGAAAACTTTTATAACACTTATAATAAAGATAATATATTAATTACAATTAAATTTATATTTTAGTACTTATTATTCTATAATTAAAACAAATCCAGTTGACTATTGATACTAGAAAGTGAATACCGAAATAGCTACTGATAACAATTTATACAATTAATCGGGATAATTAATATTATAAGTAATTATATAAAATTTGTGAAACTTTTATGATGATTACTGTCATAAAGCAATTAGATAATAATGTTTACTGTATACATACAGTATTCAATAGATTAGGAGTAGTTTTATAACTCACTTATAGGAGAGCTGTCCTGTGCTCGGGTATTGATGGGGTCCGTACGGCACAGCACTATATGAGGCAATCACTTGATGAGACAACAATAAAAATAATTTAATTGAAAACATTATATATATTTTTATGATAAAAAGTGTCGCAAAAAGTCATGTATTTGGAGACATAAAAGTGAACTTGAATTGCCGTCAATTCGTTATGAAATTTGTGTTAAATATAATAATTAGATCTTAAAGATGAGATGAAAGACGAGAGAAAAAGTTGTTTTTCGTTCACAACTGTCTTTCTGTAGACTAAACACTGCCAGAGAAACAAGTCCTCGAAAATTGGGCCAAAAATTGTCGTCCAGTTGTTTAAACTTATTATTATACTTATTATTGTAGTGTTGTGTCGATTGCTTTCTTAACTCTTATTCCCATCACTTGTATAACTCAGGCCTCAAATTATAGTTGTCCTCAATTTATTAGATAAGTTTATCGATTATTCATTTAATGATAACAACTTAATGAATACAGAGTCTATGCTATAGCTACAGCAAAAAAGACTTGTTTATTAAATGTGCAAAATTTGTTTTCTGAATCAAATGATTTAATGTTTATTCAGTGATCTGTTCCCAAACCTACTCTCTCACTCTAGTATTTGTACTTTAAACTTAGTTTTGAACTTAAATTTGTTTAATAAATACTGTATTTGCAATTTACAAATTGTTTTATTTATCACGAATATCATAACTACTGTACAGACGTACATACTATGTATGTACTACAAAGTACAGTATTAAAATTTTCCAACTCGATAATTATTTTAATTAATAAGCTAAAAAATAAACAAAAAATAATTCAATGTATAATTTAATATGGTCACCAAAATTAAATTAATTTACTGTTACTGTATGTGAAATAAAAGCATTTTATTTTAAGATTCTTGATAATAAAAAAAATTAAAATACATAAGAGATGTGTTGAATCAGTTGTGGGCAATGACTCTGCACTGACCGTAGTTTAGTTCAATCATAGCGTTACCATCGGAACCGATGGGCAGTTCTCTGCAGTGATGTCTTAAGATTGCCGCCCGCACTAAGTCTCTGAAACCAGAGGACATGATTTCATTTCTTTTGATCGGATCCTTTTCTATCAAATATTTTTTCGTCAAATTTGGAAAATATGGCAAAAGAACTAAAAATACACAAAATTTCATTGATTAATATCACAGTAAAGTTATGGACACTACTAAACATACTATTCTTGAACTGATCGCTCGGGTATATCTGTCGGAGAACCGAGAATTCAATGTCAATGTCTTTAAATCCAGATTCAGCGAAGGCTGTCCTCCAGTTGTCAATTTGCTCGTCTTTTGAGGGGATCTTGATCAGTTTCTCAATCTCTGTCTTCTCATTGGACACCAAATCATCAAACAGATCCCAAAGAGTAGTGATATTTGTGTACAACTTTCCGTTTGGCGCCAGAAGTCGATACAAATTTTTAGCGGCAGTTGTCTTGTTCTCAATCCAATGAAGGACTCGATTCGAGAATATTAGAGACACTTTTCCCTCCAATTCCTTTAGAGTTGGATCCAATTGATGCCATTCAGCACTAATATCTTGGACAACATAACTGACTTTCGGTGAGTTATAGTTAGTCTTAGCAAACTTAATCATTCGCATGTCTATGTCTAGTCCAACCAATTTGTCACATGATATCCTCTGATTCAATAGTGCGGTCACATTGCCACTGCCGCACCCAACGTCCAGTACCAATCCGTATCTAATTTTCAATATCCGTTAATTGTTTTTATAAATTCATTTCTAATTAAGCTTTTGTCAAAGTATAGTCAAAGTTAATAAAGAAAGGAAAATCATATTCAAAGTCTCACTTCTCTCCGCTTTCATCGATTATTCTGTCGATGAGATTATTAGCGTCTCGAATGTGTGCATAGTTTACACGATTGAATTCATCCGTATTTATGTCCATCTTTTATATTACGGCTAATATTAACACCTTTTCTAATGTTTCGATTCAATGTTCAATGCGATCAAACAAATTTTAAGTTTTCAAATTCACTCTTTAGTTGCTAATAGTCTAATTGAGTTACATAATATTTAACTGACTTTTGATTACTAAAAACTTAATGAAGTCATGAGAAGTCGATAAATTAGGGTCTTATCTGAGGGTTAGTTACAGAGGCGTTCCACAACTTTCTAACATATCTACCACTATTTCTAAAAAATTTAAGATACCTGTATCAAGTAAATATCTTATGTTTTCAAAATAGACATGTTATGATACATACTTTCATAGTT